TGAGCAGGAAAGATTAGATGAAGTGTGTCTATGCTATCTTAACTAAGATGAGAGCCTCTTTTTAATTTTTAACTTTTAATGCTGTATCCAACATTCTCCTAGACACTGAATAGTTTTTGAGAGTAAGATTTTTGAGAGTAATGTTATTCCACATGTCAGCATATCCATAGGTTCAAGAACATAATATTTGATATATATGTGGTATAAATTCAGTGACACACTCCTATTCTACTTTTAATTATTTTTTAATTATTTCTACTTAAGTGCAGAATCATTATTGTTTTAAAGTTTGTGTAACTTTCCTGTCCCTGACATGAGTTAATGTTTATGTTTATATGCTCAGTGTCTTCATGGTAGCTAAATCCACTTTGACTTTCCTTTGGATTCTGCTTTATTTGCAGTGCTGAAACTTCTTTGTTGGAAAAATGTCTTCAAACTCAGAAAATAACAGACTAATTCAAGCTTCTGAAATGTTCTTTCTTCATGTACAAGATCTTGTTTCCCTCACAAATACATTTACTGAGTTTCTTAACCACAATATGAATACTCAGATCTCCTTGATGGTTGTGAAAGAAGATAGTACAATTAAGAATTTCTTTGAAGAAATGCTTAAAAGTTTTAAGGAGATGCAATCTGTAGTAGAAGAAAAGTACAACAAAATGCAAAAGGAACCTATGTATTCGAAGGTTGCAACAACTATGTGTTCTATGGCAGAGAAATGTATCAACCTGGAGTTGGAACGTTCAGCTAAAGAACTGTTTAAAAATATCCAGACACCAACCATTGTCTCTGTGCTGAGCCATAGTAACATCCTTGAGAATTTGGAATCTTTTTTTTCACACTTGATGGCATTCCCCATCATGAGTCTTCAATTAAGTGATTTCTGTAAAGGAGACATCAAAGGGAAATCAGATGCTCCTACATCTGAGAAAAACCTGAGTCCAGATCGTTGCAAATCCATCTCAACAGATGCCCTGAAGAAGTTGCAGGATGCACTAAAAACTGAGAATGCCAGCAATCCCATGGAGTCAGCAGCCGATCAGTTGGAACAAATCATCAAGGCTATGGAACCAACCATACAGGTTCTCCAAAAATCCATAAAGACCCTGGAGACTGATATTTCTATGCTTAAGAAAGTGAATGACAAGTAGGGGTGCAATAAAAGTTGCATTCATTTCCATCAGAAAAATAAACTCAGATTCCATGATTTTTTATAGTACTTTCTAAGACCCTTTGATACCAGACATATGAAGGTCATTAGACCATAAGTGCAGAAAGTAGTCGTCTGTAGTTTTGCTTCATGAAAATGAAAATGAATAGTCAATGAAAGCCTACTTGAAATGGCATTCACTAAGGAGTATGTGTTATTGAAAAAACATAGAATCATAGTTGAGGATATTTCATCTTGAAGCATAATTAAAACAACAAAACTAATTTTCACATTTGGCAAGTCAATTTCCAGTTACTGTACTATGAAGTTCAGGTAAACGTAAATATTGTCATTAGTTCAGGCCTGGGGGGAACATAATTTGCCTTCATTTTTGTCACTCATGCCAACTTTCAGTGTTTTGACTATTCTAAGTTACTAAATAAATATGATTTATTCAGAACTAAATAAGAACAATGATAATTCTTATATGAATAAGATCAGAGCAGATAATTTGTTCTCATCTGTCTCCTACTGAGGTTTTAGGATTAGGAGATACTAGAAGTTGAAAATGGAGGTACTCTAACCTTTCACAAAGAAAAGACCATTACACTTGTAGGAGCAGGATTTCTGAGATGTGCTTGTTTAGAACAGGAGTTAGGAAAGTCTATTTGCCAATAATGAAGTCTTTGACTCTCATGCATTGTGAGTGTATACTCTCAAGATCACTCTTGGAGCTATTATTTCACATGATACATAATAGAAACTTTGCTTAGAACAAGTGGTAATGATAACTCCAAACCAAGCCCACCATTGTAGTTACCACTTATATTTTAAATTAAGAATCCCTCTGCCATCTGCAAATAAACAGGACTTCATAATATTTTTTGGAAGTAGATGTTAACCATTTCAGAGCATAGAGGCTCTGGAAAAAGGATAAAATTTCAATACTCTGCATTTTCACTGAGTAGCAATGCTAAAAGCTTATTCATTTGCATTTGCTATCTACTAATGATTGTTTCATTTTGAGGAGAATCTTGAACTCATTCATTACCCCACCTTCAAAAACAACAGCAGCAGCAGCAGCAGCAACATCACACCTTATATAAATAAGAGGTGGAGGTGGGTCTCTTACTTTGCTACTCGTTCTGTACTATATGTGTCCAGGATTTCACCTTCCTTCCTTTTGATTTTAGGATTGTGCCTCCCAAAATGTTAGGAGAGCAGAGGGGAACCATGAATGGGACAAAGACTCAAAAAGTCCTGGGGCAGAGCCTTTCAGTGAAGTGGCTGAATGACTGGTGATAACTCAAGGGAAGTCCTTAGATGCCAATTGGAATGGCAGCCACTAGATAATAGAGGTGTGCCACAGTCTGGCTGGGCACAATTCA